TAAATATAAATACAATTACAATAGATTTAAAAAATTAATGAATTAAATAATAATACTATTTCATATAAACTTGTATTTACATCTTTTGATACTATTTGGATTTATTGATTCTAGGTAATCAAGTCGTTTATTGAAATAATTTAAATAATTTTAATGAATTTGATTATCATTTGACCATTTTAGATTATATTCATATACATAATATTTATACTATGTATATGATTGTTCAGTTTCATTATACAAATAATAATTAAATTGTGTTAATATAACGGGAAATAAGTTTCCATTATAATTAATTGCTTATCCGGTAATTGAATTATTTGATTCATCACATGAGAATAATTATAACAAATCAGAATCCCATTGAGTATTTTCATTTTATTTATATGGCCATGGCAAGCAACCTGTTGAAGATAGATAATCATAAATAATTGCTTCATTTATTCCTATCAATTTTAAATATTATTCATTCATTCCTCTAGCGATAGAAGTAATTACACCATTTTTATATTTTGAAATATATAAAGAATAAGCAGTTGTAATTAATCTTTCAAACTCTTCTAATTCATTTTCGTTTACTATATTATACTTTTCAATATTTAGTTTATTATTATGTAAATTATTGAAAATTTTAGCAAGTTATTCATTTTTCTTTCCAAAAATTTCTTTTATTATTGTCATTGGTGTGTATTATCTTTCGATTGGTTCAAAATAAAAGACATGTGTATTTTTGCATTTATCATACCTAATAACTTTATAGTTAAATGAATGAGGATCAATTGATAAATTACCTAATTAATAATCTCGACAAGTTAATTAAGGAATTTAAATGTTTGAGTTAAGACGAAAAACGATATTTTATGGTATTGATGGTGGTAATACTTAAGAAAATTGTTAGATTTATTTGAGCATTGACATATCTATATTACTTCCAAACTAAAATTCTAATGTATATTAATTTTTTCTTTTTTCTTTTTTGATTTATTTCGTCACCAATTCTTTTTTTTCTTCCTAAACCCTTTTCTAATGTTATAATATTGATGACATTATTAAATTATATATATATTAAAAGTTTTCTAATCAAGATCAAATTAAATTCCTGTAAATTAAAATAAACTAAAATCAATTCGAATAATAAAATATCCAAATTTAAAAACTACATGCTTCTTTATAGGAAAATATTCCAATGCTAAAGATTTAAATTCATCAGAATTCCTCAATATAAATTATTCTTTAATATTTAGAAGATTAAATTTTGCCTAAAGCAAATGGATATTTTCAAATTAGAAATAATAATTCTCATTAATTTCTTAATTAAACTATGAAAGATAATTCAACTGATCTTAAATTGAAAAAATTTTTAAATATTTTTTCATGCTAATAGAAAAGATTTATATTGAAAAGTAAATTTTATTATGTTATTTATTTTAAACCAATGAACTTTTTTTTAAATATTTTAGGAGCTTTCACAGTTTGGTTTTAATCAATTTTAAAATTCAAAAATTAATAAAAGAAATTTAAATTAAACTAAATGTTTTTATTTAATTGAGGAGAAATTATAATAATCAATATATTAAATATATTTCAAGAAAAAGATACTAATTTTTTGTAATGAGTAATTCATTATTTTTAAAAGCAACGAATGTTTGTTATAATTTAATTAAAAGGAAAATCTTAATTCATACTATGTTAAGAAAAATTAGAAGGGCGAATAAGTAAGTAATTAATAATAATAGTAACAATTGAATAAACTATTAGTTATATAAAAATTATAATTAAAACGCTATAATTGGATAAAACATGAAGATGTCCGCTAAACTTTTTCGATATTAATTATTTAGAAAATCAATAAATACTTAAAAATGAGCTTTATTAATTATATATATTGATAAAAAAAAATTAAACTAAGAAATGATAAATGTCAAATAGTTAAAGTATTAAGTAATAAATATGAAATTAAATATTTTTAAATTACCATATAATAACTATTATTTTAGCTAAATTGTTATTATAAAATATTAATATGATTTTTTGACTAAATAAATTAAATAATTAATGTTATTGAGAATATTAACTAAGGAAGATTATGATTAGAAATTAATTTCAACTAGTTTAAATAGAATAAAAATATTAAACAATTTTTTAAAAATTATAATTTAAAAGTTAAGATATTTAAAATTTATATTAAGAATAAAAAGTAAGTTTTTTTGTATTTTAAATATAAATATTTTTATGTTCTTTATTCTTCGAATTCAAAGTTTACTCATAATAATTCTGGACGACTTATTAAATTTGATTTTAATTTATTCTAATTAGTTCATTAAAATGCAATAAAAAATTGAATTGATATAAAAATTTTTGCATTATTAAATTGATAAATTACATTTTTATGAATATATTAAATTAATAATCAATTTATTAACATTAAATGTCTTTGGATTATATATAAGAGAAAATATGTAAAGATTTTGTAAATGAAAATGGTTATAAAAGAACTTAAAAATTAGATAAATGAAATTCTGATTAGATTATAAAATTTAATTAAAAAAAATTTATAAATTATTTTTTAGAGTAGATTCTAATGGATATTTCAATGATGCTAATGCTAATATAATATTAAAGTTGAGAAAAAATATTAAATTTAAGTTCAAATTCCATGAAATGGATTCAATTAATATCTAAATGATTATCTAAAAAAGCATTATTGAAGGATTGACTGAAATCTTCCAAAATGATATTGAAAAGTATTAACAATGAAAGGTAGAATAATTTATTTAATAAAAGGAAAAACAAATTTACAATCTTCATAGGTTTATAAGGATCAGGAAAACCACTACTTGCTCAATACCTATTTATTATATTATTTCTATCATTCCTGAAATTCATTTTCTGAAATTTCTAAATATTAGAAACTCATAAATCTTTTTATGAAGTCCTCATTTTCCGCCGATATACTAATGTAATTATTAAAGTAAAAATAAAATAATTATACAAAGAAATAACCACATTTTTTCACGAATATTTTCAAAGTAATCTTTTCTTAGCTTTATATTAAACTTAATTGTATTTAATTTATGTTGGCACATATTCAAATGGTGGAAAAAAATATGAGTTCAAATAGCAAAAACAATAGAATTTTAGAGGAATTTTTAAATAATATTTATAAAATTAAAATAAATTAGTTGTTAATCAATTAATTTTGTTTTAAGATTAAAAATTAAAATATCTATAAGCATAGTTTAATCATAAGTAATAAAAAAAAAGAAAAACTGTGATAATATTAGTAGAAGATTTGATGAATAGTAGAAATTTAAATAGATATCTAAAGATCAGTGCTTCATTTATTAAGACATCTTTAGGAATCAAATGTGAGCCTTTAAAATGTGTATAAATCCTTAAAGTCTGATATTTCATCTTCCTTAATTATTCTCATAACTTTACTTAAGTCTAATAGCCTAAAATTTTAATAATCTATTTTTTGCAAGGCATTAAATAGTCAATTAAAGAAATTAACGCTAAAAAATTTTATATTTTGAATTAGTTGGGTATTTGTAAGTTTTCTAAATTGAAGCTAATTTATCATAAATTAATTTACTATAAAAAATTCTTGGCCAAATAATATTTATAAACTAATTTATTTCAAATTTTCAAGCAAATGAATCCCTTTTTGCTAATGATAAATTATATATTTTCCCCTTGCATCCTCAAGCTTAATTACCGTCTCTTAAGTTTAGATCGTTTGAGTTGATGTAATCTATAATATTAATATTAAAGGGTTAATTCGAAATTCTAAATTATAATGAGAATATTATGTATAATCATCGTTCTACTATAACCTTACCATCAAATGTTTTCGGGCATCTTTAAATATAAATTACATTTATGAAATTAATTAAATATTTTTATTTAATGCTTCAATTAGAATGTCTATTTTTAATTTAAATTCTGGTCGGATTTTCAAAAATTCAATAATTATATTTTGGTGATGATGAATATTAATATTTTTCAAGGTAAGCAATAGTAATTTAGGCAAATGAGACAGAAATTGTTGAGAAAGATTTTTCAAATATTTAAAACTTAATTGATAATGTGATGTTGTTTTCAAAACAATTATCAAACATAAATAGGAATTTAACAATATAATAAGATTTTTCAATTGTTATTACATCATTATTATATGATAACTCAGCTATCGACATTTGTTTTTCTAAAATTGGTTTAATTCATTGTAAATATCGAGCAATGAATTAGCTTATAAATGATGATCTCATTATTATTGACTCATAAAATTATAGTCTAAAAACTAATGATAGTATTTGTGATTAGTTATATAATGTTTGGATTAATAAATTTATAATCTAATGTAAATCCTTTGAAGGATTGATGATAATGTTGATTAATAATTAAAGTGAAATAATAGATTCAATAACCATCAAATCTATTTATAATTAATAATTAAAATCAATTTCAAAAGATCAATACATAATTATTTATGAATCATTTGATTCTTTATGTTCATTATATGTTGTCTAATGGTCTATTAATACAAATGATCTATAGTATGAAAATATAATTATAAATGGGTAAGATTACTCAGATTCTGAAATTTTTGGTAAAATAAATAATATTCAATTTTATGACAATAATGTTTTGTATATATATTTTACTTACTTGATTTTGCACTTAAACCTCATTGACTTATCTATAACAACTATCTATGTTTCAAATAGTAAAGAAAATTAATACTTTTAATTAATAAGTTTATCCTAAATTCACTCAGAAATGCTGATTTACTTAGATGACAATTTAAAGAATATTTATGAAATAGGTAATAAAGAATTTCGAATTAATCCAAAATTTTCAAAAGTAGAATAAGTAAGATATATTAATTAAAACATCATTATCAAATTTGAATCTTTATTATACATTGTAAATAACTAATATATTTAAAATGTTATATAAATAGAAGAAAAATAATTTATTTAGTTAGACAAATTGCCATTTGTTTTACTGTTTTCTAAATTTGAAAATTTATAGATTGTAAAAATAAATAGTTTCCCATTCTATTTAAAATTTTCACCATCCTCTTATTTGTCTGTATTTTGGTGTTTTGATATGGAAATTCATGATCATGCAACAATTTATAAAATAAATAAATTGCCATAATAGACTACCATTATTTTAGAAAATAACACTACTAGAGTAAAAATTTTAGATTCAAATCATTCTAATTATTATTATCATTATAGACGCAAAATATTTGGATTTCCAAGTCAAGTAACTCATTATACTGATAATTAAGGAGTTGTAGAAAACATTTTCGAATCAAATGTATTATATTCAAATTTAGACAAAAATACCATTATTTTAAAACTCAATTAACTAGATTCACATATAAAAATAATCTTTCATTTCAATTAAACTTTTACACTTTATGATGATTTTAAGAAAATATATTTAAAACATTAATATCCATTTAATTTTAATAAATCATAAATTTTCATTTGTAAATCTCAGAGCAGACTAATTTTCCTTGTATAATCAACATTATATTGTTACTCTTATGAATCTGAAAAAATAATAGCTTCGAAAATTATTTTTCAAAAGAAAATAAATTATTTTGTACAAAATCAAGATTAAGTGGAATTTTATTTTGAAAATTGTACTTTTACAAAAGTTAATTTATAAAATTTTTAATTAAATGAAATCAATTAAACACGCTCAGTGAATTGTACCATGAATTTACCTAAAGATAATTTAATTATAAAAATTAAACCATAATTAATCGATTTTCTAAGATAAAATTCTTATACTTTTAGTATAAGTTTTCATAATATTATTAGAGTGTAAATTTTTGTAAATTGTCAGAACTTAATTATTTTTGAATTAATTTAGAACAACATTCTAATGAAACTTTATCAAGATAAAATATATTACTATTAATTTCTATATTAATTGCCTACTTATTCTTTTACTATAGAATAACCATTATAATATTAAACCTATTAGACGATGATAGCAATTTTAGCTCACAATGAGTAGATGGATTAATTCATTTTAATTTACGACATTACTTACAAAAAATTGAACTCTTTGATTAAATTTATTTAAGTAGATCCAGATTGTAGAATTTTACACTTTTTGTCAATATCAAAATTCTATTATATTTTTTAAAATTAACATAGAATTGCAAATTTAGATTCAGTAACAGTAATTGTCAAATCTGATTTATTCAAACATCATAAAGATTCCTATTCACTTGACGCTGATATAACACTTTTTCTTGAACCTAGATTTATGTTTAATGAAGATTCTTTGAATATAAAATTGACAGTCTTAAATTTCAATTAAAGGTTATAAATTTTAACTGAAAATAAACTAAGATACTTAATTTAAAACTAATTGAAAGTAATTCCATTAAATCAAATTTATGGGAATATAGAATCAGTTGCTTTTTATTAAAATGGAGTAACAAAAAGAAATTTATAATCTTTTATTCTAGTTGATAAGTTAAAATGTTTATTGTATTAATAGAAGGTTTGTATTTTAGATGGTAATAAAATTATCATAGATGCTTTTGGCAATCAATTGAATTTAAAATTTAACACATCTTAAATTATCAACTAGTTTTCATTATTTCAATTTCAAAATATATTTTCAATTTATACATTAGATGAAAATTTGATTTTGAGAGTACATTCTTATAATTTAGAAGGAAGTTTAATAGAATCAAATGTAATTTCAACAATAAAATTATCATTTGAGAGTCTTTATTTGAATTCATTCATGGTCTTAGGAGATTTTATATTATTTAAAAGTACAGATAATAAATACATTAAGAGATTATTTATAATAATTAACAATTAGATATAATAATTCTATATTAATGGTTCAAGTTAATTTGACTTTATTTCTATTATAAAAACTCCAACATAATACTTTATTACATTTTAAAGTTGTTGTTAGCTTTAAGATTCTGAGGTTTTAAATTTTATAATTCTGAATCATCAGTTTGATATCATTGCTTAAACTAAAATTTCGATCAATAACATGCTTTAAAATATATTAAGTGAAAATGAAGTATTTAAGTTCTCTTTATCTGAATTTGTTAATTATACTGATTATGTCTAAATCAAATTATTAATTTGTTCAAGAAATTTACAATGTCATTATACTTAATTTTAATTTGATTTACAACTTAATCTTTTAGGAATAAGAATTATAAATATTTTGAGATATGAAGTTAATTAATTTTTAGAGGATATTTTATTCGCAAGCACTTAATTTGTTATATTGGATTTAAGAAAAGATTCTTAATAAAAGTATATTTATAACTTAAACTAAAAAAATAAATATATTATAGACAGTCATCAATAAATAGAATTAAAGGATTTAAAAATTGAAAAATATAATCAAACACATTTTACTGCTTAACAATATAGCCAAACAAGTGAAATTTAATTATTCTAACTTCAAAATTATTATATTCCATGTTTGAATACTTGTGATGAATCTATAATTCATTTAGAAATTTCAAATAAGGTATCTCAATTAAACTTAATTTTTGAAAATTCTACTGATCTATAAATTTTACCCTTAAAATTGAATTTATAATAATTAATAATCATAATAACAGGGGCACTAATATTTTTCTATCTAAGAAAATCTAAGAAGAATAAATAAAAAAATGATATATCATGAATATTTGCAAAAATAAATTTATATAATTATATTGATAAATTTTTGAATATTTTTTGAATTATTCATTAAAGCAAAAATTACTTATTTTTTGCCGATTATGGATTGAAATAATATTCAGGTTGCTATGTGTTGAGCATGGTTATTCGAAAATTCTATTCATATCTTATAATCAAACAATATTCATTTATTACAATATAAATATAAGAGAAAGCTAAGTTTTAAATTTTAAATTAAGCCGCCTATATAAATTGAATGATTAAATCAAATTTACAATTTTAATTTTATTTCAGTAATCAATAGGCTTATATATTATTGGATTTTTGTCTTATTCTCATGATGGAAACTCGTATAAATTATTTTCATAATTATGATTTTGATTATTAAATAAAAAATAAATATTCATTATTAGATAGGGAAAATTCCCTTTAAAAGAAATTTTTATTAGAGCACTTAGCTAAAGGATTTAATAATTAGTTGCATCAAAAATGTATACTCATCTGTATTTCCCCAATGTTTTAATATCCATAATAAGTATAATTTCAGTTTAATTGAATAAATCACTATATTGAAAAATCTTTAACAAATTATACTGATAATTCAATTCTAATTACATTTCTTGCTAAAGTACTCATAAATGTTAATTTCAATTTACCCTGTTTTGGCATATTCAATAATTTTAAAATCTGTCATTATCTCCATAATTGTAAGTCTACCCCAAAGTAAATTATTAGATAGGCAAAAAATACTTTTACATGAAGAAAATGTCAATTGAAAGTTCAGGGATACGTCATGTAAAACCATAAATTCCCTTAATTTTATGAATGCTTCGCTTAAATAAGAACCATCAATGTTTGAATATATATATTCTTTATTAAAGCTTCGAATGCATCATTAATTACTAATCTAATAACAAATAGATGATAAGTATTATTTTAGCTTTCATTTAATTATATATATATACATATATATAATTCATCAACAATATTGATGTTTAATTTGTCTGTATAGGCAAGAGATTCCAAAAGTTAAACGTTATTAAAATTAGAAGGAAATTTACCTTTATCCTAATTTTTAATTTAAAAAAATCAATTTAATTATAAATAGTAATATTAAGACTGGTTGAACTTAAGAGTTATTCAGTTGACTAATAGGGTAGATTATGTGATACAAGAGTAAAATGTCAAATTTACAATAGAAGTCCATATTAAAAACAATTTTTAATTTCGGTATTTAAAGGGTATTTATTAAAAATAGAAAATAATAAAAATGCTGTTAGATTTTAACAAAAAGTTTTCTAAGGATTTGCTTTCATCTTAAATATATAAAATATCAATCGGTATACTTAAGGTAATGTAATTTTATTAATGAATTAATTCTGCAGCATTTTAATTTTTAGTTAAGTCTTAAATTTTAATAAGCTTATCTTTATATTTAATTTAATCTTTCTAAATTTGATATATAAGAGGTTAAGGGTGTGTAAAACAAATATTCTAAATTTCTATTATGGACTTCTGATGGACAAATAAATAATTCATAAATTATTCATATTAATTCCTTTAATTAAGGATTTGATAATATTTAATTATGATTTTATTCTTTTTATATTATTTATTGCAGTTATATTAAACTAATGAAATCATTTATTCAGTTATCAAATAAAAAATTCTTAATTATAAAATAATCTTCTAATTGACTAAATAATTTAATTATTATTAGTAATCTGGAATGCATAAAATAACATTGAAATTTTTAGATGAGTCTATTGAATAGAAATACTAACAAGAACATTAATCACCAAAACGAAGAACTCATATTAAAATATTCTTATTGATTTTTATTATCCTTTAAATCATCAAATTAACTATTGCAATAATAAATTAAAATTTTGCACTAGTTTACCAGTTACTTGGGATGATTTCATTCACAACTTTATCGAAATTCTTTAATATTAATAAAGAATATCACTAACGAGCATCAATCATATACATCAACATTTGTTTTTCAATATATGTGATTTTCTTGGATCCACGATTAGATACTGCAACTATGTATTATAGAGGTGCTCATTAAATGATCATCAACATTATTAATATACTTGGAATTGAATTTTTGGATTCAACAATAACAATTATAATAATGTATTCACTTAGAATATTTCATCTTATTTATAATAGTTCAATTATTGATATTACTTCTGTTATAATGGGTTTTGGAATTAATTTCTTATTAATTATTATTGTTTACTTATATCATCAAGCAATAAGATCCTAATTCCTCTTAACTTAAATTGATTAAAGATGGTAAGGTATACTTTAATAAATTCTTCATAATTAAAAATTTATCTTAATCAATTATCAAATAGAAAAATTGTAATTTTAAACTGTTACTTCCACTTTTTCATAATCCATTCAGTCTTAAGAAGATGTTATGAAATTTTTAAGGGAGGCCAAAGTAGATTATATAGAAAATAGTTCATTAGAGCAATACTTATTTCATAAGTTATAACTTTTTTCTTAAAATTGTTTGAAAATAGTGAACCATTCAATAAACGTTAAATTTAATAAATAATTAATTTCCATTGATTATTCAATATTTTTTGGAAATTAACCAACGATCTTAATTTAAACCAGTCAATAAATAATATAATTGTAAAAATAATAAGTAGAGAAAGTTTGTCTATTGTATTTAAAATTATTAACTCTTTTTATTAAAATAATTAAGTAAAAAATACCTTTTGATTAAATATAATTCCATAAACTAGCTAATAAGATTTAAATTTAAGAAATAATCACATCAATTTGGAGTTAATAAATGTTATCTAAAGAAATCAGTCTTTAGAAATCTTTGCTAAAAATTTAAACATTTTGTAATCCAAACACTATGATTCAACTTGTTGGTTCAGACTAGTTTATAAATACTATCCCAAAAATATTTCATTTATTATTAGCTTGTATAGTTGATAGTTCAACTAGTAAATTAATCAAAATTAAAGGTTAGACTATGGAAAATTAATTGAAACTTATTAAAATACAAGGAAAATTTAATCTTAAAAAATTAAATGATTATACCAGAAAAATTAAGAATTGCTTACTTCTTATATGCAAAAAAATCTAAGCATAAAAATTTTGTATAATTTCAATTTATTTATTTTAGGTATTGAACTTGAATTCAATGAGGAAATTTATTAACCATTTCCAAATAATAAAATGCCTTAATTACATTTTAATTATAAAAAGAAGAAGTTCAATGAATGAATCAATATTATCAATTAAAAATGATTTTATCCTTTAATATGTTAATGATTTATGTTATTATGTAAATAACATATAATGAAAACACTTAATGTGATCATTCAAATTTAAGAATAGTTTTTTTTAACTCATAGTTACGTTACTTCCTTCTAAATTTTTGATTTTAATTAATTTAGTCTAATTCTCATTTTCTTGCATTATCTACTCCTATTAAATTATTCAAAATATTTTTCAATTTTTTTACTTTTTTTTGAAGTTTCCTATATGGCATATTATATTTTTCTACTTCTTTGACAATAATCTTAAAAATAATTTAATTGTTTTAATATTGCAGCTTAATTTAAAATAGATATCATGGTACTCTAGAACAATATCTAGATTAAAATATCAGCCTAAAAAATTAATTTTATTTAATTCACAAAAGGATTCATAAAATAAATTAGCTTAATAGCAATAGACTATTTAGGATTCAAGAGAATAATAATTATAATAAAGGAATCAATGCAAAGATATTCAGAGAGATGCAATAAATATCGAATCTTGAGTAGAAAATTCCTAGGTATGGAAATAAATGAATCTATTCTATAATAATCATTAATCCATCAATATTATAAAAATTCTTACAAGAAGAATGATTATTAAGCTAATTTAAAATATCAATTAAATATAGGTTTTAATTATTGGTTTTACCTATCAAATGGAAGCATAATTTTGTCATATTAATATTTGATTTCAATAGATAGTTTATGAATTATTAAAATCCATTATGATAATCTTTTAATAAATAAAATTTTATATAGATTTCGAACAATAATGAAATCCATAAAGACATTAATAGATATATAATAGTGTAATAAATTTTAATATTATAAGCCTTGTTAATATTAATAATTAGCTCATAATATTAAATCTAAAATAAAAATTAATGGGGATATGTTCTTCTAAGACAAAAAATCCTCAAACAAATCAACAACAATAATATTCAAAAAATCAGACACATTAAAATCAAACTCCTAATCAATAAATTATAGAAATACCAGAATAAAGAACACAAAAAATTGAAGAACAAAAATAAATAATTAAAATTACAGAATAAGCACCTATTGTTCAAACATAGTAATAACAAGAAAATGAAAAAATAGATATGTTCCCTTTAAGTAAAGAAGAATTTGACTAATTTAAGGATGATATTTGTATCAAAAACATACATAAATCATTTGATGATATTGATAAGATATTAAATAAAGTATGAAAATAATTTTATAATAGTTAACAGAAGAACTTGATAAAATTTCACAATATTTTTTAACAGGTACTGATTACGAAGCCCTTAGACGATGATTAATATCATTAATTCCTATTATTTTAAATTATATTTCACATTTTATTTCTTAAATGAGTTCATTTTCATTTATTATTCTATTCTATCAATATTAATTTCTAAAGAGAATTATCATAGTATATGATTTTTATTAGTCCTTAATTTGCTTTCTTAGATATTTTTTATATGCTTTAAATTTATATTCTACCATATGTACAAGCAGATTGTTTGGCAACATATAAAAATGAATAGGCATCTAAATGCCCATCAATTAATAGTAGCTAATTATCTTCAAAATCAAAACTATAAAATGACCATTAATATTAATTCTCTTAACATTAATTTAATAAAGTCAAAATTTGATTTTTTGTAAAATTTTATTCTAAAAATTTAAATGGATGTGAAATTGAACACCGAAAATAAAGTATTCAATATATAAATAAAAATATTTCCATTTTGAAATGTCTTTTATATGAAATGATGTTATAAGCAATTTAAAAGAAATAAAAATAATTAGAATTAAATGAATTGAAATATTCAAATAACGATTAAAAATTAAAATCAAGTAATATTAAAAATGTGCTAAAGGCTAATTGATATAATATTGCGAAATAGAGCTAAAATATTCCCAGAGAAAAAAAGTATTCTTGTTTTATTTTTAAACATTATTATTATATTTTAACTTGAAATCTTCCGATTAAATAATCTAAAAATAAAAATCGATGATATATTTACAATAATTACTCAACATCTTTATCACTATAACAGATTGATAAGAATACTATGTTACTTCTATCTCATCATAATTTCTATAATTATCACAAATTCTTCAATAGCTTTCATAGTACTTTGAACAATATTGATATTAAAGTCCTAATATTTAAAATATACATTACCAATATTCATAATTATTAATGAATTTTTTTCTTTTTTTAAACATGATCCACTAGAATATTTTCACTTATAATAATTTCTTGCTACTCTTATATTGTATAAATCACAGTTTTCCCATAATGTTCCAATATGTCCTTAAAAACAAGAATAATCGCCTTCTTCTCATCCACCTAAACAATTTTAAGGAAAATTCAAACAGTTACTAAGTATTAATTTAAAAATATAGTCACCAATATACAAATTTTAAATTTAATAATGCTTTTAAGCATTTATTGTAGATCTATCATTATTTAATTAAAATTTTTAGATTTTAAATTTAAAAGGAATACATAAATAATCAGTATTATTTTTTATCTCTCCTTGTGCTTACGATTCATTAAATTTAAATTATGAAATTTTTACATAAAAATTTTTCAAAAAGGATAATTTATAATCTTCAATAGTTTTTTAAATTCAAAATAGTTGAAACTAAGAATAAAAAAATAGGATAAACTTAATTGAAATTTTATTGCTTTATATCATTTATATTTTTTAATTCAAATTTTTACATGCATCAAATATAATTTGGACGACGTACCATAATTCTCTGTTTAATTTAAAGATACATCATTTCAAAATTAAATGAACTTTTTTTTTGAAAAAAATCATCAAAGTGGAATGAGCAATATTAAAATGTATCTAAGAATATTCCAAATTCTTAAAATAAATCAAATATTTTTTAAAATGATTACGTATTTATCTAATAATTTATTATATGATCAGGATTCTACTTTTAATAATACCATTAATAAATGGATGTACGAAATTCCCAAATGATACTATTTATGTTGTATCAACACCTGGAGAATTAATTGAGATAGATTTAGGTGACATTTTTGACTAAGTCTTAAATACGAATAGTTAATACAAAATTTATCCTGAATTTGATTATGTTAGACTTGATGATCATAATCCAATAGATTTTATAAAAAAATCTGAATATACTTTAAGTTTAAACAAGAAAATTATTTAATAAAAATAATTCAAAAGCACTGAATATCTTGATTTTACTTATCGTTGGAGTATTTTAAGCAGAAGAGAAAATATGTATTTCATCGAATATAATTCTGAATTATCAGGGGCTACACCATTAATTGACACTTCTTAATAATTAAATTTGAAAGTAGATTCGACATGTTATGATGTAGTATAATTATTAAAAGTGCATATAATTGAATGTAGCAATACTGAAGGGGATTATTTTGCTATTTTAGAAGAAGAATCACTTTCAACAATGTAAATTTAAAAGGCAACTAATCTATAAAGAAAAATTGATTAATTAGATAATATTCTTATAAGAACATTGACTAATTATTTAGAAGTTTATTAATTATTATAAGATAATTAATTGGTTTTATAAGGAACCTTAACTTCAGAAATATTAAGAGCATTAACTCAGGATAACACATTTAATCTAGAGATAGTAGATTTCAAAATTCACACAAATACTTAAATTACTATATTGAATCAATAAGGACAATTGTTAATTTTAGAATTTAATATTCAATCCAAGGAATGGGTATTATATAAATACATTCTCACTGAAATTGATAAACCTTATGGATATGACTTAGTATTTGATGAAAATAACATAGGTACTTATGAATTAGGAATCATCTCTGATACAAGCTTCTAATTTTGGTATTCAACAACTTGGTATACAGTTAGTTGGAATATAAAAGATTTAAACAATGATATCAATTCTAAGGTTTATCTGTCATTTTCGAATTATATTTTGTTGTAGAATGAAAAATCGCTTTCGCTTTATTAACATTATTCTAACATTCCTAAATGGTCAATCAATTAAGAAGAATAAACTTTTGTACATTAATATCCACATTTTTAAAGTTTTTTATTATTTATTTAGCCTTATTTTTATGCTTATAATTATTTGGAGAGGTAATTAAAATTATAATTTTAATCAGATAAATTAATTAATGAATATGTTGAGTTTTTATTAGAAAAAATTACTGTTTATTAATAAACTTGCAAAGCAAAAATATATTTTAAGGTTGTGGATAAATCGTCAACAGAAATTTACTAAACATCACTCGCTCCTCAAATCACTTGCATCAAAGATTAATATGATCTTTATAATTATTGTGACTACATATAACAATATTAGGGTTAAAATATTTAATTAGAATTTGATCAAAATGATGTCTTAGAACTTGATTATAATTTAACAATTCCATTTGATATATATTTTAGGAAAGATTCTGAAAAAGTTATTTATCGAAAAATTCTCAATTATAATCATTAATTTGTTGTCATAGAGTAAATTGAAAATATGTAACTAAAAGCTTATGTATGCAGTGAATAGATAAATAATACTCCTCTAAACTGTCAAATAACATTTTAAATAGATAATTTTGTTGAATTAATTGATTCTCCTGTTCAAAGTTGGTATTACGATTTGGGTACAGGAATAATTTTTGCTTCAGCTCATGGCAATTCAGTAGATATCTATTCTAATTTTAAATCTGATAAATTTAAACTAGTTATTACATTTTCAGTGAGCTCGGCAATTACAAAAATTTATGTTAATTTTTAACAAGTTTGGTTGCTTTGTGAAAAAGAATTTTCATATTATTCATTAGATTTTAATGATAATGAAGCAAAATTAAAAATTTAACGATCTGCTAATAATATTTTTATTCAATCTTGGGTTTAAGTTGGCAATGTCTTATATAATTTCATTACTGATTAAACAATTGATTTAGAAAAAGAAAATACTATTATAGATATGGTTGATGACAATCTATTTTTTGTATTAGTGAAAAAGAATGATAAGTATTTTGGATATACATATTAGAGTTATTATGGCGATGTTAATCACTAAAAATTTTTTTTATTTAAAAGTGAAATAGATCTGAGCAAATATAAAGAAATAACTATTGCTAATCAAGAAAATTGCTAGAATTCTGGTTTTAGTTAATATATTTATTTGAAAGCCTTAAGAGATGAAAGTCGTGTTCTTTTGTTTTATCATCCTCAATAAAATTCAATTAATTCCTAATATTTTGAGCTTAAAATTTCTGAAAACACTTAAATTTCCACCTGCGATTAAAGTCTATTCTTAACTGATAAATAAAATCAAAATTTATAATAATATTTAATAATCGATCACTTTACATAAGCAATTCATGGAAAAGTGAATAAAGAATTGAAATAGATCTAATTTTAACAGATTGTAAATTTATCTGGTAGAATATTTAACTAATTTAATAGCTATTAGTTATCATAAATCCCTATAAATTTATTAAATAGAGGAACTGATTTATTTGCTACTGTTAATTAATTAAATTTTACATATGTAAAAGATGGATTGGATACTCACTGTTTTAATTTAGGTTAATCTTGGTATAGTGGATAAGCATTTGAAATAGATTTAAAAGATCCTGTAGAAGACGTATAATATAAAAAAACATTAATTAAATAAACATAAACGATTCAATTTAGTTAATCGATTATGGAATATGATATTAATACTTTAGTTTAACTCATGGAGAATAAGATTGTATTGGTTTCTAAAGCAGATTTTAACACCAATGAATTTCCTTTAGATGATTAGTATAAATTTACTATTATTCAATATATTTATGATGACCTCATTTATGTTTAAGCATAAAAAGGTAATTATTAAAATATTTTCTGTGTGATTAATTGCAAAGATTATAACTGCTAACTTCAGGATGGTTGCCATGAATTGAATTCAGAAGGAAAAATTTTGTATTTAAATTAACATCATTTTTTTATGGAAGATAATAGTAGAACATTTATTCGCATTTATGATACAAAAGGAGATCCATCAAATATATTGGAATTTAGATTTGTTGATAAATTGGATATATTATAGAATTCAAACTCTATAGATGTTTCTGAATTGTTTGAAAATATCTATTTGATCATATCAATTGATAAAGAATGTTAATTAAATGTTATAAATTTGGACGTTTCAAGTAAATTAAGAATAAAGTATTTCTAATATTTTAAAATAAAAAATGTAGAGCCTCTCCTCAACAATCCAAAATCTTAATGTAGTAGCATTCTTGTTAAAAAAGATGAGATTATTGTATCTGGAATAGTTTAACCTACAGTCATATTGAAATTAGAAAAGTAGTGTAATTAAAATTACTGTTTAATATCAATCAAATCTAAATCTTTGATTTAAATGTATGCCATGCATTAAACAATAAAAGATAACTTTAATGAGAATATTTATTCCATGTATTTTCTTGATCAATTCAAAAAATAATTTGGCTTATTTTTTTATGATACAACAGATAATTTTACAAACCTTTAACCAAATTTAGCAATAGCTTATTTGCCAATCGAATCTGAAAACTAAACTTCAATTGTATACAATTATAATGGATAATTGAACTTATTAATAGCTTAAGGTATCAGTAAATCATTAGAACATTATATATTAAAAAGATCTTTAGAAATTTGTTCGACGAAATCTGTTAATAAAGATTTGTAATTTATTCTGAAAAATTCTTATAATTCAGTCTCGGTTTAAATTAAATTAAATATAACTTAAATTATTCCTCCAGGTCCAGATCCCCCTGGTCCAGATCCTACTCCTGATGATAAATAAGGATTTCCATAATGGTTATTATGGAGTATCGTAGGTGGAGTTATTTTAGGTATATGCATTGGTATCACAATATGGTATTGTAAAAAAAAGAAACCAGATCCCTACGATTAATTGTGATTCCTTCGAAAATGATAAATCATTAAATTATTAATAAAAATCGATTTTAAGATATTCTACTATACATTTACTAGTTTTATTTTCTAAGTAGAGCGAAAATTTAATAGAAATTAAATATATAAACCGAATTTTATAATTGAATTTCTAAAGCATTAGTTTAGAAAAAAATTATTTATTTTAAGGAAAGAATCGAAATTCTAAAGTATTATTTTTAAGTCCCTATCTTAATATAAGTTAGCCTTCTTATATTTTTCAATCAATTTTATTTTAAAAAATACTCCTTAAATGTCTAGGCATTTATTAAATATATCAATATATTAATGATTAAACAGTTCCCTATTAATAATTTAAAATGTTACCTTTACGGTATCTTAAGCATCAATTTATATTGCTAATCATATGCATTATAATTATTAACTATTCGTATTATAATTAGACTTTAATTTCATTTTAAATAGCTTTTTATTGTTATGAAGTTATATGAAGATTTTTTAGATTCAATTTTAATTTCTATTCCAGCCAAATCAATACTTAATTCTATTAATTAAAATCTTAATTATTTCAAAGATTAATAAATAAAAATTTGCCTATTATCTTGAAATTTTTTAACCTAAATGGGCAATATTTCAACCTTATTTAGTTATAATAATGATCCAAAAAACCATAAATAATCAACAAACATCTATTATTTTTCTAACCTTTATCTTTTATAAGGCCACACTGTTTTGTTTCAATTTATAAAAAATGATCTTATTATTAAAATACTTCATGATATTTTAACATTTTAATACTTTTTTATTATTTACTATATTTGATAAATACATCCCTCAAATTAAGTTTTTCTATAAACTTCAAAGTTATAAGAACTCAATTTGTTAAGCAAAATCGAGATGTTTGAGGGTTTCTATTAATTTATTAAGCATTCTTATGAGCAATATGAAAAATTTTACAAAAAATCAGTACCTATAATTTTTAGAAGTTTTTTTGTTTAATAATAATTTAATATTTTGAAATCTATTAATAAGGCTTAATCGTTTACTTAAGAATCCTTTTCATATTTTCTAACCTAATTATTCGTTTATAATAATAAACTTTCATTGGGCATCCGAAGATTCATCTCTCTAATCCAAAATAAAAAAAAAAGATTAATTTATTTCTTTTAATATGATTTTCAATCAAACGATACAAGACCTTCATCTAATCTTATATCTATTTTGCTCAAAGTCTCAAATTTATCTCCATCTAGCTTTTTACCTAAAATAGTAAAATATAGACTATTACTTTCCTATCAATAAGTTTATTTTTATTCTTTTTAATTCATAGCGACTTTGTTTTTGATTTTATAATATATAAATATAACAGTCTTCTGACTTTGATGGGTTGAAAGTTTCTTAAGTTAATAAAACTTGATCTATTAATATTTTTTGAATTGATAGTTCCTATTGTAAAGTTTTAATGGAGTCTAAAAATTCTTACCTTTCTTTGGTGTCTTTTATTGTTAAGGATAAATAAAAAGTTTTTAATATTCACTATTTTACATATTTTAAAAAACAATTTCAAAAAAATTATGAATTAAAAAATATTATGTGTCAACTACCCATATTTAATATTAAATATTAAGATATTGATTAGTGTTGATCGAAAAAATGACAATTAGAGACAAATCCTAATAGAAATAAAAGAATTTTTTATAATAAATTCTCTTTAAATATGATAAAAATTCATAATTAATTATGTTATTGCTATAATTATTAATTTTTTATGCTTTTTATTAATAGTTTCATCTATTTCTGAAAATTTAAAGATCCTAATCAAAATACAATTCATTACATAAATTCGAGAAATTGTTGTTATTTAGAAATTGAATTCATATTAAATACGACATAATTTTATATTATTAACTTCAATGGATGTTCTTTTTTTATTACAATTTTTATTAAATCAAAAATCAATATATAAATACTACAAATCTCAAAAAACAGATTTCCAAAATAATGTACTTGCAATAAACAAAGATAACTCAGTTCTTGCAGCAGCTGCTATTAATGATTTAATTAAACTTTTCAGGATCTTTTATTACAAATAACACAATATTGAAAATTTAATTTAATAAGAGGAGGAGGAATTATACTTTATTAAATTATTTTAAAAATTTAGTATTATTTATTAATGTGATATTTTATTGAGAATTTTACAAATTAATGTAGAAGTCTTCTATTTATGTATGCATTATTGATTGGTATATTATAAAGTCTCTTGATTAATAAAAATTTTCAAATACATTCATTTTAAACTATAAATGGATTTGCATTTGCATATAAACCTAAAATTAACCTTAAATTTAAATAATCAAATAATCTGGATTTTTAATCAAAATCATTTTTATAATTAGTATTAATCTTAGAAGAAGATATGAATGTTATGATATCCTAGAAAGATCTCTTTTAATAAAAAATTAGCGCATATAATTAATAAAAATATGCTAATATTTAAATTTTATATTTTATTCTAGTTAAATTTGTCTTTTTAGAATTTTTTATTAAGTTTTTATCAGATATTTTGTCCAACAAAAATTCATAAATATCTCCAGTGATATTTTTTTTTAAATTACATATTTATTAATAGACTTGTATTTAGTTATTTTAATTTAATAATATAATCAATGATCAAACATCAATATTCAAATTTATTTTCTGATTATTTCTTTTTAGGGAAAAATTAATATATGTCAATTTTATTTCTCTCAGAAATATATTTAAGAGTAAATTCCTCCTTTTCAATATTCAATATCTAAAAATCATTTCTTTATTTTTTTAAAGAATTTTGATAAGTAGAGTTAAATCTCTTAAAGGAAAGGATAAAATTTATTTATTATAGTGAGAAATATAATTTTCTATTTTTTAGATTATTAATTAAGATTATCTAATCTATAATTATAAGGATATCATATCATAAATCATTTAATTCTTGCTATTGTATTCTTTAAAATTGGTATGATTTCATTTTCCTTATAATAATATTCTATTTGATTATTCAAAAATTATTATTCTTATAAAAACCNTACTTTATTAAATTATTTTAAAAATTTAGTATTATTTATTAATGTGATATTTTATTGAGAATTTTACAAATTAATGTAGAAGTCTTCTATTTATGTATGCATTATTGATTGGTATATTATAAAGTCTCTTGATTAATAAAAATTTTCAAATACATTCATTTTAAACTATAAATGGATTTGCATTTGCATATAAACCTAAAATTAACCTTAAATTTAAATAATCAAATAATCTGGATTTTTAATCAAAATCATTTTTATAATTAGTATTAATCTTAGAAGAAGATATGAATGTTATGATATCCTAGAAAGATCTCTTTTAATAAAAAATTAGCGCATATAATTAATAAAAATATGCTAATATTTAAATTTTATATTTTATTCTAGTTAAATTTGTCTTTTTAGAATTTTTTATTAAGTTTTTATCAGATATTTTGTCCAACAAAAATTCATAAATATCTCCAGTGATATTTTTTTTTAAATTACATATTTATTAATAGACTTGTATTTAGTTATTTTAATTTAATAATATAATCAATGATCAAACATCAATATTCAAATTTATTTTCTGATTATTTCTTTTTAGGGAAAAATTAATATATGTCAATTTTATTTCTCTCAGAAATATATTTAAGAGTAAATTCCTCCTTTTCAATATTCAATATCTAAAAATCATTTCTTTATTTTTTTAAAGAATTTTGATAAGTAGAGTTAAATCTCTTAAAGGAAAGGATAAAATTTATTTATTATAGTGAGAAATATAATTTTCTATTTTTTAGATTATTAATTAAGATTATCTAATCTATAATTATAAGGATATCATATCATAAATCATTTAATTCTTGCTATTGTATTCTTTAAAATTGGTATGATTTCATTTTCCTTATAATAATATTCTATTTGATTATTCAAAAATTATTATTCTTATAAAAACCTCATAAAACTGCATATGAAATATCCACATGAATAACCGTTTCGTTATTAACCTGATTTTTTATGAATTTCTATGTTTTAAATTGTTATTTTCAGAACTTCTGCCAAAGTTTATATTATATTTTTATTGTGTACTTAAGAATTATAAGTATTTGATGTAGAATCAAAGATTTAAACTTCTCCATTTTCAGCATCAAATAATAGAAAATACCAATGAAAATTAATTTTGTTGATTGGAAATCCAATTTTTTTGTAAATCTTTGTGATGTCTAAATTCATTTATGAATATTCTAATAATTCTTATTCTAATAAATTATATGCTTTTTGTTTATCAAATAAATCGCCAAAATTTGTTGTTAAACTAGTCGGTAACAATAATATACGTTTAACTTATTTTTTTTCTAATTCGTTAAGTTTGAAATATTTATTTTCGCTTTCTATGTTAAGCTAAAGAACATAACTATCAATAATATTACTAGTCATCCAACTTAAGTTTTACAAAATATTAATATCATTAATTGATATTTATTAATTATACTTACACCAAACTTTTTAGACTTATTTTTATTTTTGTCTTTTTATATTTTAAGCATTAACCTATTCACCTGTTGCCTCATCTATAATAATTATTCTTGGATTATTTTTTTTTTAATTCTAATTAGTATTTGTAAATGCTTTCTTTTATTCATGTATATATTCTCCATCCTTAAAATTACCTTCGTATTTTACAAATTTTGACTTTCCTTAGTATTCAATACCTTCTCCATTTAATTAAAACTTTCTTTTATTCAAATCGACTAAAAAATTCCCTGATTAAAGTTTATACTTTGGATTGAAATTTTGATCATATTCAGTTAAATAAATAAATCCCTTTACTTAATATAATTTTTCCTATTTACTATTAATTTTATCATAATAAAACTAAATGTTTTTGAATAATAGAACATTTTCATAGTTACCATTTTTGTTTTAGATAAGATCATATTTAAATTGATTACAATCCTTAATCCAAATTTCCATGATATTTTTTTCTAGACTTTAATTATCGGATAATTTTTGTTTTTTATATCGATCATCCTCTTGTTATTAAGCATCCTATTTTTGAGATATTGCTAACTAGCTTTCTGTAAAATTTTCTTTTTTTTTATGTACAAAATAGCCTTAAAATGCATAGAAATAATACCAAACAGACATCCCATTTTGAATAAGAAATGGAAATTATATTTATTATTATATTTATATATGAAGTTGAGATTATTGCCCTTTCATATCTTAGATTATGATTGAGATTATGGATTTTAGTTGAATTTGATGAATATCTAAAATATTAAATGCTTGTTCTCGCAAAATTCTTATAATCAATATTTAAATGCTCATTCACTTCCATTATTAATCTTTACTAATAATTGTAGATTAATATATTTTAATGTATTATGAGTCTTTCAATAATTTGATCAACAAGGTGGCTAAATTTTATGAATATGTAGATGAATCAATATTGAATTGATAAATCTCAAAAGATTATTTAGTGTTAGAGAAAATGTATAAGAGAATGATCACTTTTTAAATGGTATTGATAAGAAGTTTTAAAGGAAAAAAAGATATAAAAGTGAATATATTTTCCAACTTTAAGTTAATCAAAACTATATCAATCAAAATATAACTATAATTGCTTGAAAATTCTAATCAATAATTTCAAATCCTAAATTTAAAAGGAATTAATATAAAAGAGTCCGTATCTTAAAATTTATATTCAAATTATTGATCATAAACTCAATGTTTTCGGATATAAATATTTTTCATTTCTTCACAGTTAGTATTAATAATGAAAAATAGCTGATAATTAATTAGAAATTCAATAAATTAGGTCTATCAATATATTTATAATTATTCATGCCAAATAATTCTACTTTTCTATTCGGACCTTTGATTAGGAAATTTATTATTTTTTTCTTATAAATAAATGAATGAAGGAATTTAAAAAATAAAATTGTGCTTAATATAAAACATCTTAGCTCATAATTTCTAATTTATTCATCATTTAAATAAATCCATTAATCTATCTTGTCTCTTTCTTTTTTGAATCCACCCCACCACTATAAATAATCTTTAGATAATTGCAGATAAATGTTATGCCCCATCACTATGTAGTTGAATTCTAGAAAAATATGTACATTGTGAATTGGTTTTTTATTGTCATATCAATTCTCAATATTTTATCAATCAATCTTTTCTCATTTTTATTCACTATTATTAGTTACTTATTTCTAACTACAAAATCCATCACCAAAATCAATTAGATTACTTGATTTCAAAGCTTAATTTTTGAAAAATCTGCCCTAAAAACTATTAAAATATAATATAATCTAAATATATAGATTTACTTTCGCAAATTATTAATCATGATTGATCTATTTTCATCGTAAGATATCTTCATTAATGATTTATTATAGCCACAAAAAGAAATTTGTTTTTCTCTTATTTTTTATTTTGATTATCTTCAAGAAATTATTAAAATTTTTAGAACTTTTCCAGAACCGAAAAATTTCTGAATATCCAGAACTTTCTTAAATGATTCCCTTTCTTAACTTAAAGAATTATATACCATCTCAAAATACATATTAATTACGTTCTTTGTTTAAGATTTATTAATAATAAAAAGATATTAAATAATTATTTATAACTTTTGTTTATCATTTTGTAAAACAAACAAACTTATTCAAATTAAAATTAAAGCCATAAAAACAGTAAGGCTTCATTATGTTAAAAATTAATAATTTCATTAAATTATGAAAATTCTTATTTTAGAACAAAAATATTAATATAATAAATAATGGTTTTATCAGATAAATTAATTAACAGTATATTTTATTGCCAAGTATCAATAGATATCATTATATGATAATTTGATGAAATAAACTTGATTTAATTAAAAGTTTAAAGCAATTGCTTTGATAGTGTAATGTAAAATCTATAAAATTCATTTTGTGAAATTAATAGCAGAAGTATAATACTTCAGATTTATATACATATACTATTAATTATAGATTATCAGTTTTTAATAACTAAACTTAAGATTATAATTTGAATGATTTGATTAGAAATTTTGATAATGCTTAGCCTTCTGTTATGTATTATAATTACATTTTAGATACAATTCAATATTTATTCCAATTTACAATTAATAATATTCATATAATGTTATAAGAACACTAATTATCCATTTGAGTTAATATAAAGCCTTTGCTTAATTCATAATGAACGCCTATTTGGTTAAAAAAAATATTTCACAGATCACCATAGCTGTGGCTATTCTACCAAATTGGATACATCTTTTCAAACTCTTCAGCATAATTTGTGTTATTCCTTAATTTCTTGTTTTCTTTTTGCTATTAATAATCCATTACGTAATTAAAATTACCTTGATGAAAATTCTTGCAAAAAAGTCCTCCGGGCTAAAATTAATTTTTCCTTTTATTTGCACAAAACTTCTTATAGAATTAAGTCATTTTGTTTAAGCACCTTTATCATTTTAAATCATCAACTTTAGATAAATTTTTTTCTTTATACTGAAGATGCTATACTTTTGATTTCATCTTCCATATAAAAATATATAAACTTGATAGTAGAATTCAAAAATAAATTTAACAATTATTATTCAAATTAAAAGTTCATTAATTGGCTGTGTTAAAGAAATTTTGGATGAGTTGTATAATTAATTACCTTACAAAATAATGACCCTTTTTGTGTGCTAAATTAGATTTAGGAAAATGCAAGAAAAATATACATAACCCAAAAAATTAATAACATTTCAACCTTGAATCTTCTTAATTATCTTTGAAAAAGCAATATTAACTAACATATAAAAAAAATTATAAGTATTGTAGATCAAATTCTTATAAATCTATGCTGAGTTTTCAACATATCTAGTTAACGAATATTTTTACTAGCCTAAATTGCTTGCATAACATCTTTATTATTAAAAATTTTATCATGAATATCAAACAAATCTATAAAACTTCGCATGTGATGCAAATGATCTATAACAACTGAAGGGTCTCTTGAATTTTCTTCATTATGGTTAGGAGGCTGTATAATATAGTTATTTGTAATGGTGTATTTGGAGGCAGTATTAGTAATTTTTTTAGAGACTTTCTTCTTGTTATTCATAATTTTTTGGTTGATAGCGAATTATTGTTGAATGAAGAAGCTACTCTATATTTATAATATAGATGCATAACCTTTGGGCAAAATCTATTGATACTGCAATAGCATTCAATTTGATATTGATAAAATTGATTTTAGTGGCTATATTTTTACATGTAATAATATTGTTCCTTTATGATCAACATTATGTTCTTAGTGTTTATATTTCTATACAACCAGAAAATCTCCTATAGAATTGTGATATAGTTTAAATTTTATTGGCAATATGATATACTATAATATTGTGATTTAAAAAGCTAGTATTTAAAATTTTGGACTAACTTTCTTTATTTTGGATAAGAATATTGTATTAATAAATATTTTTATCTTTTACGAATTGATTCAATTTTTCAAAAATAACAATTAAATAAATATAATCATAAAATCAATTTTTATAATATTACATTTTTTCCAATAAAGTCTCTAATTTTATCTATTCAATTATAAGTTAATATTCTGAAAATTGACTATTTTTTCATGAACAATTGATAGATGATTAACTTTTTTTCAATTCTAAATTAATTTCGATAGCTACCTTTTTTAAGAAATAATAATAGATTCATTTCAATTTTAAATATATTTTTAAATAAATATATGTAAAATAGAGACTTTTCTGGGCATATATTCATAAATATTTTGTGAATTTTTTTAAGTTCTGTATTTTAAAAATAGAGTAAATAACAAATTTTTATTTATAAGAAAAGAATTACTCTAAAAAATGTTAATATTTCAAAATAAATTAAAATTTTTATTCTATTTAATATAATTTTTTTCTAAGAATGGAATTTTTTCTAGAATAATTGTAAATAAATCTACAGCTTTTGGGTTCATATACCTCCTTTTTTCTGATAATCATTTTTAATATTTTTTGGTTTTATTTAAATGGAAGATAATTGTGAAGAGAAGTAATAAATAAGCTCATAAATACCTTAAACATAAAACAACAACAATGTTATTGAAGACTAGAAAAAGAAATACCTAACTTCCAAATGCAAATGGATTTCTTTCACAGTTACTTTCTTCTTCTTAATTGGTATTGGAATATTTCTGGGAATATACCTGAGTCAAAACGCAAAGACTGCCCCAACACTAAAGAAATTTTAAAAGGATGAATTTTTATAAATAGATGAGATATGTATGTATCATACATCTGATAAAATATAAAATTGCACCCAGATAGAAATGAATACAAAAAGAATCGTAAATGATTTAAATGAGAAAAATGCATCAAGTTTGTTGATGTTAACTGCATTGAAAGTTAGAACATTTACATAAAATCCTGATGGAACAAGGGAATATAATGAAATGATAAATGAAAATACTGAAATAGACTAATAAGTTAAAAAATCATTAAGAATTTTATAAAAATCAGCAGAAAGTAACAATTTTTGTGAAGGAATTCCTTAAAATGAATGTGGAAATTTAAATGAAGTACCACTAATAACATTGATTACAGACTAATAAACTGGAGGAGTGTAATAGATTGGAATACCCCTTGAAATTCCAGATCTAATTCTTTAACCTTTGGTTTCTAATATCATACATATTGCTCCTAATGTTGCTGAAACGGGTGAAATTACTTAGAGTAATGGAACTAGATTACTTGATGAACATTCTACAAATCTTTATTACGTTGGCAAATAAGCATTTGTTCCTAAAATAAGTAAATCAAGGTCTTGGTTTGGTAGAACTGTTGTTAAAAAAACAATATCACAATAAAATTAAGTGAAAGAAAGTTCTGGAATCAATTTATTTGATAAATTTGAATAATCTTAAGAAACAAGCTTAGACGAAAATAATTATTTAGTTTCTTCTCATATAACAACAAGTTCGAAATTAGATAATACAATAAAATCAGAAAATATTAATTAACAAACTTAAGATTTAACTGATAAATCAGAAACAGAAATCACTAATGATTCCAATTTAGTAACTGTTGAAACAACAATAGATGAAGCCTTAACAAATGCATTGACTGAAATTTAAAATTTATAAAATTTATAATATTATTCAATTGAAGAAATATAGGATAGAATACAAACTCAATAAAACTTAGATAAAAATTTATAGTAAGCCAATAGATAATTATAAGAAGAAAATGGAGATGTATAATCGTATTCTGAAACCGATTATGATTAATAAGAAGGAGGATGTGATTCTACAATTTTCAACTAAAAAAGAACTTTAAAAGAAGCAACGGTATTAAAATAAAAAATTGGATTAGTAGTAGAATTTAAAGGGCAATTATAAAATGAAGATATTTCAGGATAGCTTAGATCTTGTATTTCACTAAATTCAAATTGTATCCAAGATTTATACAAAAAAGATTTTTCATATGAAAGGAAACCGATCTAATCTGTAAATAAATCAGGAAGTCGTACTTAGAATATTTTTCAAATTACCGTATTGATTATGGGATATCCCTTAAATATAGGGGCTGATTACAATTATTCTTGGGGATACAACGAATCTCCTGTATAAACTGAGAATGAAATAGGACTTTCTGGATAAATTTATGCTGCATTAGGAGTGACTGCTTATGGAGAATTCAGTTTAGTTCATGTGATTAATATTCGAGCAGGAGTTTAAGGGTATATTTTTAAAGGATCGGTGAATGGAGTAGCATAATTCAAATTTAATAATGTTGATAAAGTAATTGAAACTAAAAAATACATAATATTTTTAGATTTTTAAATTGAAGTTTTAACATTTGATGTTTATGCATCATATTAAAACATAACTTTGAGATGGGAGAGAAAATGTGTTGGTAAAAGATGGTATAAGATTTGCTGGTATATCCCAATTATCGATTACACAAATTGGAAGGATATTTATAGGAAAAGCTTTTAGTTAGCTAAGCTGTAGCCTTCAAAAAGGATTTTCTAGATTAAATCGAAATGTTATTGATTGTGATAATTATTCTATATAATTATTAACAATCTATTGTTTAAATCTAAATTATTTTCATAGCAGGGGAAGATTATAAATAGACAATTTTAAATTTGATAAACTTTACTTTTTTAGGATTATTTCTTCTTCTTCTCTTAATTTTTTTCTTTATTTAGAAGAAATTGCAAAGAAATTTTAAGATTTTCATCCAAGTTTTTGTTTGAATTTGTTTTTTGGAGATTTGAGAAGAGACAAAAATTTATGTCAAAACTAAGTACTATCATCTAAAAGCTAATTTCAAATAATTGATATTATAATTAAATTACAATCAGAACTCTTTTTTTATTAAAAATCCTCCAATTAATCCTATTCAATTATTATTTAAGCAATTTTATTAATTTAATGGGAGATAAATCATCAACATTCATTACGCTTTTGATTACTGTTATGATTCTTTCTGGGGCAGCTAATACAATAGGTACCTATTTCAATTTTTATTTATAGTCCATAAATTATAAAATACAAGCAAAGTTTCAGTGGATGGATGGGAAACATCAAAATTCAATCATCCTTATATGCAAGCAGTTACATTTTTTTTTTGTGAGTCTTTATGCTTTTTATTATTTTTAAATATAAAGAAAAAGCCGTATTATAAGTAAAAGTGTAGAGAAGCAGCAGCAAAAGGGTAATAATGAAAATTTATAGAATAGATTAAAAACGAAAGTTAATTATGGTTGGATAGCTATTCCAGCGATGTGCGATTTAACTGCCTCAACCTTGGCTTATATATCGTTGAATTACCTTCCTCCATCAATTTATCAAATGTTAAGCGGAGGAGCAATCATTTCAACAGCCATTATGTCTAAATGCTTTTTAAAGCGACATATCAAAAAATATTAATGGTTTGGATGTTTTTTTGTTTTGGTAGGTATAACATTAGTAGGGATGAGTTCATTTTTCTTCCCTCCTAAAAATGAAAATGATGACTCAAAATCTGAATTTGGAACTGCTTACTTTATATCAGTTGGATTACTGTTACTATCAGTTCTAATGAATGGAATAAAATTTGTTTCTGAAGAGAAATTATTTGATGTTTATTACATACACCCTTTTGAAATTGTTGGTATTGAAGGATTGTAGGGTTTTTCAGTCTATTCTATTTTGGCAGTAGCTTTGACTTTTATTTAATGCCCAAGCTCTATGAATAATATCTGCATATAAAAACGAATGACGGATCTGTTTTATTTTGAAAGAGCTGATTTTTATTTTTTGCAAATTTTTGCAAGTGGTTTATTACTCTTGTGGGTTATTTTAAGTATATTTACAATAGCAACGTTCAATATTTGTGGTGTTTCAGTCACTAAATATGTCTCTTCCCTGGCCAGGTAAAAACATTTTAATTTAGATCAATTGTTGATGTTTCAAAAACATTAATTATATGGGTAGTTTCATTGGCTATCACATGGATAGACCCATAGTTATAATGGGAGAACACAAGATGGCAGGCAATTGTATTAGAATTAATTGGTTTCTGCATATTGGTGACAGGAAATCTAATCTATAATGGGAAGATCAAATTGAAATTTCATGGGGAAGGTGTTCAAAGTAAAATGTCTCTAAATCTATATAGTCGATCCAGAAAAATTTTTAGATAGCAACAATGGTGAATGAGTAAAGGCTTGATGAAATATTATTCTTTATAGCATTTAAATTCTAACAGTTTCACTTATTAAATTAAATTTATTTTATGTTTTGGCTTGGGTTTGGGTTTGGGTTTGGGTTTGGGTTTGGGTTTGGGGTTGGGGTTTGGGTTT